AATAAATAAACAAATCTCGTTTCGATTGTCCTTTAATTGGAAAAACTCCCTTGTCCCCACGCGAGGGCGAAAAAAGGAGGTGTGACAAAGTTAATGACAGACAGTCCTTAAGTTTTAATTTCTTGTTCAAAAGTTAAGGACTGAAAGTCCTTAACTTTTAATTCCATGTTTAAATGTTAAGGACAGACAGTCCTTATCTTGGTCTTGCACTTACAGTACTCCTGTTCTTAATTCTACAAGGATTACTTTATAATGTATGTCCTTTGTTTCCCATTTTTTTGACTTGTAGGATGGAAACAATATGCATAATAGTTGCTTTTAATTGTAGATGGACCAAACACTATAAATATCTAGAAACAGAACATAAATCATGAACTAGCAAATGAAAAAGTACCTAATGCCTCGAGTGCCACCAGTTACAAGAGCATTCATGCCATAAAGGGACCATCTATTCACTTTTCCACTACACTTAGTGGCAGTGGCAGTAGTTGTGAGTCGAACTGAACTGCAATTCATCCATGGGTTTATTATAAAGTTTCTGGGTTTTGAAAGTTGAAGTTTGTGCTTGAGAGAAGCAACAACAGTGTGTGAAATGAAGAGGGGTTCCGACATTTTCTTTTAGAGAGAGAAAGAGACAAGGGATTGAGGGATTGATGTGCCCAGATAAGGGATTGAGGGATTGATGTTGTTGACCAAGCATGGAGGAGGCCGACCATGAAATCACCTTGGGTATTCCAGATGAAAATGCAACGCGAAAGAGAGGAAGAAAGGGTAAAATTGTCTTTTTTCTATTAGTGGTGGCTATTTTTGCTGAGCATTATAATTAGTGGATAAAAATTAAAGACACCCTTAATTAGTGGCTACTACACGCCATTTTTACTTATTCGAAAAGTCAAACAGTAATCCATGGGCCTGATCAATTTGGGTTTGGGCTTAGAATAATGGCGTCCAATTGTAAAATCATATGGCTTCTGTAGACTTGAGCTAACTGAGGTTTGTTGTTTCCACAACAGTTAAAACAGCAGAAGGAAAATGGAGATTTCTCCGGTTTAACTGAGAAATAATGCGGTTGCTCTCTCTTGCACGAAGGCTCTATAATGCTCGCCCTCTCGCTTCTAAGCATATAATTGGCTCTATAGCTCCTCAGCCTCCTTGTTTGTTTGCTTCAAAACCGAAACTAAAGCGCCATTTCTTTGGGACATTTCGTCAACCATTTGGCAGAACTTGTCATATTACACCATCCAAGCCCGCTTTCTTCAGCTCCGGCAATTTAACTTGCTACGAAATCATCAATTTCGGTAAGCATGTGGACACTTTGCGCGAAAAATCTCAACTTGATGTTAGCCAATTTGTTGGGATTATACAAAAGGCCAATGATTTTGATTCTGGTGATGAAGCCATGTTGTTTCTTGATGAATGCTGTGTTAAACCAAACAAAGACTTGGTCTTTTTGGTGATTTGGGAGTTGAGAAACCAGTGGAAGTTGGCCTATTTGCTATTCAAATGGGGTGAGAAATGCAAATGCCTCGAGGAAAACACGTGGTGTTTGATGATATGGATTCTGGGCAACCATGGTAAGTTCAGTACTGCCTGGTCTTTGATTCGAGATCTTCTTCAGATGTCAATAAATATTCAAGAGGCGGTCCTCCTCATGATTGATAGGTAAAAACTTATCTTTTATTTTTTGGTTGATTTCCTTTTCCCATGTTTTTGACGCATACCATTGAGTGAAATGTGAAGTCATTCATTTTCATGCAGAGTAACCTTTGTAATATGATTTCTGTAATTTATGTGAGTTCATCTACATAATTGCTGAGAAGCAACTGTTAACTAGATCGTTGAATTCAAGCATTAATTTGTAGATATCAGTAGTCTCACAAAAAATGTTACCTTTTAATTGCTCTATCTAGCTAGAAAAGTTGTTTCATAATTTTTATAGGCCTAGTCATTCATGTTTCTTTCAGAATTAAGGTATTCATTACGTAGTGATATTCAGAGGCGGATTCAGAATTTGAAGTTTATGGATTTTGACGACCCCTTGCTTGCCACCGAACCCACAATCCATTTATCCTACTGGATTCACAGTTTTTTGTATGTACATATTTAGTGGATTTCTCAACACATATATGGGGTCTAGGCTAAAGCTTCTGGGTTCTGCTGAACCCGTGCCATAAATTGTGCATCTGTCCCCGTGATATTCCCAATAAACTACTGAGACAAATGCTATGCATTAACTTGAGTAAGATGATTAATTGCTTGACATGTTGTTTGACATAGTAATTCATGATATTCTTACAGATATGCTGCTGCCAATAATGCTGGCAAAGCTATACAGACATTCCAGATAATGGAGAAGTTCAGTATGTCTCCTGATCAGAGAATATTCCTGACATTCTTGAATACTCTCTGTAAGCATGGGTTTATTGAAGAAGCTGAAGAATTCATGTTTATTAATAAAAAGCTATTCCCCTTGGAAATTGATGGTTTTAATATTATCCTTAATGGATGGTGCAATATTATGGTTGATAAATTTGAAGCCAAAAGGATATGGCGAGAAATGTCCAAGTGTTGTATTGAACCAAATGGTACTTCGTATACCCACATGATTTCCTGCTTCTCCACGGTTAGAAATTTGTTCGATTCACTTAGACTTTATGATGAAATGCAGAAACGCGGCTGGGTTCCTGGCCTGGAGGTGTATAATGCTTTGATTTATGTACTGACTTGTGAGAATTGTGTGAAGGAAGCTCTTAAAATTCTTGATAAAGTGAAACATATGGGTCTGCGTCCTGATTCTAGTACATACAACTTGATGATACGTCCTCTGTGTGAATCATCTAAGTTGGCTGAGGCGAGAAGTATATTAGCTCTGATGGAGAAAGACAATATCAGTCCAACTATTGAAACATATCATTCATTTCTTGCAGGTGCAAGTCTAGAAGGAACTATTGAAGTTCTTAACTCTATGAAACGGGCTGAAGTTGGTCCAAACAGGGACACCTTTCTCTTAATTCTTGATAGTTTTTTGAAGTTGAAGCAGCCGGAAAATGCATTGAAGATATGGGCAGAGATGAAGCAGTATGAGGTAGTGCCCCAGTCTGCACATTATTCTCTTTTGGTGGGAGGACTTGTGGAGTGCAGGTTATTCTCCCAGGCGAGAGAGTTATATTCAGAGATGAAATCCGGTGGAATTCTTGATGACCCAGGTCTCCTGAAGTTCTTACAGCTACCAACTGGTCCAAGAGGCCAACGACATGTGAGAGATCCTAAACATACTAAAAAGGGGAAACCGACAAAGCATCCGACGCACAGGGTGATCAGAAGTGAAAAAGGTAGAAGGTAACTAAATGATGCTTGAAAGACTCTAGCTCATCCACGCCTGATGGGTGCCTTTAGAAGCTACCCATAAATCTTTGACCGTGCAAGCTATGTAGATTTGTTTTGCTGGGACCGGGTTAGCATCGGTCTTGGTTGCTTCTAAAGATAATTGCCCGGAGTCCAATTCATGCTAGAGTATTCTCTAGATTCTTGATATGGCTGCCCGAGTGGCCTAGTAGGGATGTGTTTGGGACGACATGGATAACTAAATTCATGCTATATATGGTTTGCCATAAGAACGTGTTCCAAGAACATTTCAGCATTGCCAAATCTGTTACATTGTCAATCTTGGCAAAATCTCGGTCACTGCATTGCCTTTCATATTGATTCATCAACATCCGATATGACAAGCCATGCCTCATATAAGTGACATTTTGTGTTCATTCTCTATGTGATTTTGCTTCAGTAACTGATGCCAGCACTGGGCCATGTCTTCGGGTCTGCGGTCTTCATATAAATCCAAGAATGAAGTTCAGATTGTTGTAGATAAATGGCATCAGGTGAATCCTTGCTGAACTAATATACCATGCAGTTGAATCAGTTTAGGTTGCTAGGATGCTAAATTGGATATAGGTATATAATCTAAGTTATCCTACCCAATTCTTGGGTATGGAGTTAATTAGAAAGAGTGCACATCGAGATACGGGGACAGACTTCTCATTGCTTTTGCGAACACATACAGCAGATTGCGGTATTTGTGTAATCGGAATTCTAGTTCGTTTATGTTACTGAGTTCTAAATTAACAATTTATACATATTCAATGAATTTTTTAACACAAATATAGATTTTAGACTAAAGTTACTAGGTTCAGCATGATTCCAAATGTTTTGGTGGTCTCCAGAGTCTAAAAGGAGTAAAACAAACACTACTTTTGGAAAGAAAATCAAATATATACGAGAATATACATCATAATTTATAGAAACTATATTATTTATTTCCATAAAAATAACAAACGGATAACGGTCATCTAATTTGCTTTGGATGTGTATATAATGGTGGCTGGGCCAAGTACAGTCATAAAGTAGGACTAGCTCAGTTGGCTATTTCCTCAACCAAACATTAACCAGTCACGTCCAGCTCATAGCTTCTGTCACTCGGGCTTATCAACATTTCTCTGAACATGGCTCTCTCTGTTCTCTTTTTCCTACTCCTCGCCGCCGCTGCCACCGTTAACGCCACCGACCATATCGTCGGAGCTAACAAAGGCTGGAACCCTGGCATCAACTACACCCTTTGGGCAAACAACCAAACCTTCTACGCCGGTGACTATATATGTACGTATTACACTGTAAACAAGTACGTTAGTACATATTTTGCGTTTTTGTTACTTCTCTAACTTTTCTTTCTTTGTTGGGTGACAGCATTTAGGTATCAGAAGTCACAGTACAATGTGTTTTTAGTGAACAAGACTGGATATGATAACTGCACAATAGAAGGTGCACTTGGGAATTGGACCGGCGGAAAAGACTTCATTATGCTGAACAAGACCCAGAGGTATTACTTCATTTGTGGCACTGGCGGTTGCTTTAACGGAATGAAGGTTTCGGTGGTTGTTCATCCTCTTCCATCTCCTCCGAAGTCAGCCATTTCTGCTGAGCATTCCTCCAAAAAGTCTGCTGCTCCGGTGGCGGCGCGTGGTTTTGGGTCACTACTAGCTACGAGCTTCGGTTTATTTGGATTGATATTATATGATTCAATTTGGACCTAGCAAGTTCTGATCTTAATTTCTTGTTTGAGATTGTTGTGCTACCGTAGCTCGATTAAATTCTCAAACTGCCACAACCACAAGTGTCAAGCGTGTATGTCATTTTGATTTTTTGATTATGTCATTCGTCAATTCAATTTTGTTCTTTTACTTTCACTTTTATCAGGTTTCTCTTGTAATTTGCGGTTGTTTCTTTAAATGCCAATTTTACTGCATTCTCGGTAACTTCAAATCAACAAAGTGCGATCTACTAATTATAGTTAGAATTCTAAAAAAAAAAAAAAAAGGGGGTAATGATACACCCCTGTGGTTGGACTCTAGGCTTGGCCCATTTCAAACATTCATATGGGCCTAGATCCCTATAGAACGGGAGAAATTAAAAAATGACCAGATTTACAACTGGTCATTCAAAAATAGCATAGTTTTAAAAGTAATCGAAATTTAGTCATTTTTCATTGTAAAGATAAAACTGAGTGAAAACACTGTTCAAAACCCGAAAAATACGCAAGTATATTATATTAGAGTTCCAGGATAGGTATGCTGGAACTCCAGCATAATATGATGGAGTTCCAGCATAAGTACATTAGAACTCCAACATAATATACTGGAGTTCCAGCAAATATAATTGTCCAGTATAATATACTGGAGTTCCAGCAAATATAATTGTCCAGTATAATATACTGGAGTTTGAAGCACCGGTGCTCCAGTCTCCAGTATATTATACTGGAGTCAGCAAAGTATACCGGTCCAATATAATATGCTGGAGTTCATACACAGGTGCACCGAACTTCAGTATATTATGCTGGACCGGTCTCTGTTGCAGCAAAATAGCGACTATTTTTCATTGACTTCGTAAACGCCGACTATTTTTGAATGACCAGTCCGAAAACTGGCTATACCGTGCTATTTTTACCTATAGAACCTTCGACAAAAGGCTTGGCCCATTTCAAAAAAGGCTTTTTTTTCTTTTCAAATTTCAGTTTTTTTGTCACCACCCACCCTACTTACCCCTCCCCGGGGCAAAAAACATTATTTTTTTTTGTAATTTTAAATTTCTTTTTTTTGTTTTTCTGCACCATCCACCCCTCACCCCCACCCCTCACCCAAATTTTAGTCTCACCCTAGTCCATTACAAACTAAGCTTACCTACAAATCCAAACTATTACTCTCTCCATTCTAGTTTATATGACATTAAGAGTATATGGGCCGGGACCGGCCCGTGACCGCATGCCAAATGGGCCAAACGGGCCGGTCTCAAACGGGTCGGTTTCAAACGGGCCGGTCTGTAGTAGTGCAAAAGCCCATAGCGGGCCGGTCCTTACCATAAAGCCCGTGAGCCTGGGACAGTTTAGCCCGAGACCGGCAGGCGGGCTGGGCCGGTTCAACCGGCCCAAACGGGCCCAACAACTAATTTTTTTAAAAAAAAAATTAAAAAGGGACAACGGTCAGATATTTAAAATGTAGTTGTTGGACTGCATTTTTAGCCGTTTGGCACTTTCAAAAATAGCCATTTGGCTCCCAAACTTTGTTTTAACCCCAAACTTTTTATAATTACACTTTCCCTATTCTCAACTATAAATACCCCCTCATTCTTTCATTTTTACTCACAAATTAATCAATCTCTCTCATTTCTCAAACTCAAATTGAAGTATTCAAGTCTTCACTCATCTCTCATTTCTCAAACTCCAATTCTTAATTCAAGTTAAATCATGCCCGGTGATTCTAGATTGCACCCATTTATTTTGGAACACTTTAATGTGGTAGAAGAAAATGAAGAAGTTTACATAATAAAGTGCAAGAACTGTGGTCGAGTCTACACTCGTCGTTGAAAGGAGGGCACAGACTCTTTAAGGAGGCATATAAAGAGTTGTCTTGCGCGTTCTCCAGACATTTGTATTTAAGATTTTAAGTTGATTTGAGATAATTTGTGTTATTTTAAAATTATTAGACGTATTATGCTTAATGTTCTAGTTTGTTAAATTAATTTGAAGCATTATGTTGAAGGTATTGAACTTTAATTTGAAGTATTAAATATAAACTTTAATTTGCAGCTTTGATACAGAGTATTAAATGTAAACTTTAATTTGAACTATATCTATAGCTTATATATATTATATATACTATATCTACATATTGGACTATATATCTAATACATATAAACTCTCTCTCTCTCTCTCTCTCTCTCTCTCTCTATATATATATATATATATATATATATTATAGATATAGATATAGTATATATAATATATATAAGCTATATATTATATAAGNTAAGAAATTGCCTTAGATAAAAAAAATAAAAAAAATAGCCCGGAACGAAAAAATCCGGTTAGGCCTGCGGGCCCGATCCATTTAGTCCAGGACCATGTGGGCTTAGGACCGCAGTGAGCCGGTTCTACTCATTTGGCCCGTTAGGCTCGAGACTGTTTGGTACGGGACCACCAAAGCCCGACCCGCCAAAGCCCAGGCCCGTTTGTCCCGTTTAGGCCCGGACCCGGACCACAATACAGCCTTAACATTGTCTTTATCATTTCATCCTAAAAAGAATAATACATTAATATATTTAAACAGTTAAGTTTACACTCTTCATTTCATCTTTAGTGATATATCTTTGTAGTAACACCAATGTTATAGTATATTCAAGATCACAAGTTTAAGAAAAGAATCGCCACACAAATGCTAGGATACGTTGAAGACAACAAATTTCAAAACTTTTTTATTTCTTTCTTAAATTTTATGTTAATTTTAATTAAAACGGAGGGAGTAACACATGATCTCTATCCTAACTAGTAGCTAAGTTAAGCGGGTCCCAACTCATGAATAACTTAATTGTTGGGTGCCTAACTTATGAGATTAGAGGGGAAAAACATATCAGGAAGGGATAAAGTATTATAATTAGGCAAATTATCTAACATGTTGGAGATGAAATGGAATAAAAAAAAGTATAGATTATTTAGTAAATCGCAAAAGTCCTGCTAAAGATCACAGAATCTCAAGGAATCCTCTTACCATATTTGAAAAGACAATCTACCCACTTTTTGCTAATTCCATAGTTTGGATTGTACAAGGGAACTCCAATGTGCGTACCAATATCACAAAAAAATCTGCTTAAAAGATTTTAACTAACTAATTAATCAGATTTTTGTTTGAAAATATCTATTCATTGTTTATTTAAAGCCAGTGCACAATATTTTTAAATTCCATTGACATTCTCTTCTGGAAAATGAGAAGATAACACATGTAAAGTCAACATTGAAATTTCACTATCAATAATAAGAATATACTTTCTAGCGAATATTTCTCTGGTAAGGCGTTACATCACCCTACGGATGGTCTAAAATATTTAACTAATCAACAATATTTTTTGCAATTAATAATGCGCTAAGGATTGCGATTATGTATAACCATTTTACTAATCTGTAGTCTTTCCCCAGTTCACACTCCTTGCGGATATATATTTTTTTTTTTGAAAAAAAAAAAGAAAGGGAAAAAGATATTGTATATCTATATCTATACTATATTAAAAGCACGAAGGCCCCTAGCGAAATATCATTCGCCTTTTTTGCCCTTCATAAGTATATTTTATGTTGGATAAAATTATAATATGTAAATATAATAAACTAAATTTTCAAAATTGAACCAGGAATTAATGTCAATTCTGACTTAGGATTCTTTTACCAAAATTGTGCCAAACACGTAATAAGTGGGTAACTTTAATCAATATGGCTAACAAATAGTGTCCAAGCAATTACGCTCACTTAGATTTAAGATTCTTCTTCCAAAATTTGCGCAGCAATTAATGCTCTAGAACTAGGATTCTTTTACTAAAATTTCTGTATAATATCACTTTATACAGAACATACAGAACATGTTGCTAGACGAGACTAACAACTTGTTTGGATGGTTGTTACCTATTGTATTGTATCGTACTGTTATTTTAAATACGATGTTTGTTTTAATTGTTACTTAAATTTTATAGTATCATATAGTTAAATTTGTTATTACGTAGCGATGAAATATATAGTATAGTTATTATACTATAATATATTTGTATGATGAGGCACGTATCGAAATAAACTAAAGTAAGAACCACTCTACCCGAATTCCTAAAAAGGATTAATGTTTATCAGTTTTAGGAAGACACAATTTTTCAATAAGTTTTATTTTATAACGTAAACACATATTTTGGATATTATTCATATAATTCTAAAAAAATTATTATTCTTGACACATAATACAAGCGCAACGCGCGTACCCAAAGATTAGTATTTTTAAATTATAAGAAGTTAGGTAATCGAATTCTTTTAGAAGTTATTGCGCAGTAGCCCGGGAGAAAGACTTGAATTATGGTCCGTCTGGTAACTACCTAAGGTTGCGGTGGCGTAAAGACGGATCCAGAATTTAAATTGAATGAGTTCAAAGTTCAAACTTGTATTAAACTCATTATACTACTAAAGCTATGAGTTCAAATCTAATATTTGGTAAAATTTTAATATATATCTATATCTATATCTATATCTATACTATATTAAAAACACGAAGACCCTTTGTGAAATGACGTTCGCCTTTTTTACCCTTTAAAAATGGATTTCACATTGGACAAAGTTGTAATTGTATTTTAATTATTTTCCTAATATGTAGGACTTTAAAATCAACTAAATTATTGTGTATTAAATCCTTCCTTATTTGAACTATGCAAAAATTCCTAATATTTAAGAATTTAAAATTAATTAAGATTTTACTTCTATAAAAATTTTCCTTATTCAAATTATATGACTGTCACGATTCTAAGTTTTTAAAATATCAAGAACAATAAAGAAAGCTTTTCTTCAAAACATTTGTCTTAGAATTAAACACTTGAGAATTGTGAAGTATATTTTTAAGAATATCTTGTATTATTTTTTAATATTTAGATATTAATTTTTAATCAACTTTAAGAAATATTGTCCATCAAGCATAAAATTAATTTTGGAAAGAATCACTCTAGCAAATATGAAACCAATTGCGATAGCTTTATTAAAATTAGTGTATTACCATATGTTATAATCTTTTATAAACTTTATTTTAGACGTATTAAATTATATTTTATAACTTTTTGTAGTGCGGGCAATTATTTTAGACATATAAATTTTAATATGGTCTAATTATCATTTTTTATAGGT